TGGTTTACCTGTAAATAATTTTGTTTGGTGAACTGCATGCATCGACAAACTCGATACTACAGAGTTGACACTTGATACCAGAGTCCCTTTAAATGAATTACACCAGCGTTTTAAAAACTACTTGTAGTGAACTTAACTTCAATAAGTAGGTAGAACGATCGAAATAATAAGATAGTATGTATTTCATATAACATAACGAGAAATAAACATGGTTTCAATCGGAGAAATAGGAATCGCTCCTCTTACCTTGTGTAGTCTACGGCTAGCAGTCAGTAACTAACGACATGGCGTCCTGTTGCTAGGGTGCAGAAGCTCCATAGACACCCACACTAACGCCCCTAATACGAAAGCCGTGCGCAGTGGCGGCTTAAAAAATACACAATTTTCACTGCTAGGTATGTATTGTATATCATGATTAAAATGAAATCAAGTTAGCTTTCTTACCTCGGTGCACACCTGTCTACGTGAACGCTATCCTCTGCCTATAGAATCCCAGTTAGTGTCATTGGTAACTGGGTAGGAGAGATTTAGATTGACAGAGCGCGCTGACCCCGGACTTAAAATATATGCACGGAGCGAAGTTCATAGGTATTTTTGTTTGAAACACATAATCGTTGTATCTATATAGGAAAACATATATAATCATTAAAAAGTAAAATGTCTTTTTAATTTATTAATCAATCAATCAAATATGCATATGAAAAACTAGATTGTTATATTTTAATCTAAACGTTGACCCCCTTGGTCGGTATAAAGCCCACACACATATACAGCTTATATATGTACATTTTATACCTACACCGGCATTCTGTATAAATAAGCTCTCTACATTAACTATAAGCGGTAGTGTGATAAGTGAAGTCTTTGTTCCCCGTACATACGTTTCTAAAGCGCTATAAATTACCATGTTTGCTATCGATCTAACTCTATTGAAAAAATTGGTGTGCAATGTTAGTTTGTGAAATTGCATAAGTACTCTCTAGGTTTGTTAATAGTGCTCGGATCGACGATCAAATAGTTTCAATTTGCCGGAATTTTTTTAACGAATGTGTGAAAAGCAAATGATTTGCTCACCAGCGATTCAATAAATATATCTATTTAAAGAACGTCAATACTCTGCCATTTTTGACCGAGGAAGTATTCCCATTTCATTTAAATACTAACATAGGCTTTAAAATGTGTATTGCCTGTTCGTTATTGAAAGTATAGAAAAATCAATTCAGGGGAATGCTAGTACAGAATGAGTATCGATTCACCCAGAACCTGTCGTGAATGCGACTGCGACAATGCATTGAGGATCGAGCCAGCGTTTTATTTCGGGGATCTCTGTCTGCATTAAAGGAATTTGACGTGTGGCAATACTGTTGATAACTGATACTACTGTATGTGCTCAGAATTCGCGAGGACATAAACTTACGAAGACATCGACTCGTTAGGTTATATATACATTTGCACTTCATTCGTGGTGGTAGTTTTGTATGACGTATGCATCTGTAACTGTTCTCGTGATACTTCGCAATAGATATATACCGTGAGGCGGGGTTAAACGTGAGGTAGAGCTCAACGGGGGTAGACAAATATGTACAAGATTGGCAGGGAGTTACTGCCAAAACAACCCTTAAAGACAGAAACGAGAAAGAAATGTTTAAACTGATAACAGGAAAATAACAATTAAGAGTGAAAAAAGGGAAACAAGAGAGATTTTTTTATATTAGGAAGTGTAAGAAAAAATGAGTGAACACGCAAAGGACGGATAGGGAATAGTAATACATAAAGAAAATGAACCATAAAAAATGGGGAATAAGGGAAGATGGAAAATGGGAGCAGAATATTTCATGCACTGTTTATTAATTTGATAGCCTACATCGTAAGTAATAACCGAATAAAAAAGACACCAAACAATGGCGAATAAGTTATAGAGGAGGGAAAATTGGGGGTGGGGATGGGGGATGGGGGAGGACACAAAGGTAGAAAGAAGAACATAAATATAAAAAATAATTAAAGGAAAAGGGACGGGGACAACAGATAAAGAAATGGTAAAATGGAAGGAAAAAATATAATAATAAAGAATTTGTAAAAATGAATTTTTAATATAAGATAAAATTAATTTATCAAAATCAACCCAGACCACAACGAGAACTACGAGAACTAAGGAGACACCAAAGGGAAAGGGAAAAACATCATAAACTCGCACAGAAACCTGGAGCTATTTAAGATGTTTCGGAAGGGTAAGCGTGTTTTTTTTTTACACAGAAGGCGACACCGGACATGTTTTCTCCTGCAAAATCCAGGAAAGCGTTTAGATATAAGACAATAAACAAATTGTAAACAAAGTTTTAATCAGTGAAGATTAAGGTAAACTTTATAAACAGGAAATTTCATCCTCTGTGTATTTTTTCTAGCTTTCATCGCAGTTTTAATCAAAATCAGTCTAGTTTTTTAGAAATCAATATCTATTTATATCTATGTTTTCATGTTTTAGAATAAGAGGACTGAAGTTCCAAATCTTCGACACGATTCAAATGTAGCCTGAGAAATGATTTGCAGAATTCAAGCGTTTTAACGTACGCTGGTTTTGACAATGATGGCATTCCAATGAAATTAAGGCATTGAGAGACTTGAATAGGCTATTTCTGTTGTTCAATGAACAATGAAATATTCTTAAAGTGAAATTCTATGTTCATCCATTTGAATTAGGCCACTATCGTTTTAAGTATGTCTTTGACCACGGTTATAATCATTGTCAAAATCCAGCATATTTAAAGCATTTAATTTTGGCTTTGTTGAACAAAGAGGGATATATGCAAAAACCCGTTATTGTAAGGGTTATTGAAAAAAATGGGGCTCAAATACAAGTTGTGCTAGTCTACTTCAGAGTTTTTATTTCATACATCAAATGATGTATACAGCCTATAGAAAATGCAAATTGCTCACATTGTCCAAGAAGCCTTTTACATTAGATTTTGACATAATAACTTCTATTGGAAGACAATGGTTGCCAATTGCTTTGTCACTTGGTACGACTACGTAACTGTTATTGAAGTTGAGAATATTCTTTTTACACCAATATTACGTCAAAAAAAACCCAATACATTAAAGGGAATATACAGTCTAATGATATGTATGTTTTAGCTGTTAGCTGAAGAAGAATGAAAGACTGAAGAGCATGGAATGGCGATATCTCCAAGCACAACAAAAACAGCATGGAACGAAAGAATACAGACCAAAGCCTGGCATAGCTGTTGTTTAAGACAAAACAAAAGTGTACTATAAATCTGGATTGTCACCATTTAAATTATATAAACCAAGGCACATATGTACATTCCAAATTATAAGAAAGGTAAAAGACGTTTTCTTTGAAATATTTGAAGGCAGAAAAATCCCCCAAGGTTCGAAGTATGGGACTAATTTCAAGTTAGCTCAGTCAGTAAGTTGACTTTACAAATTGTGAAAACCGAAGAGGGATCATTGTGACATTTGTTATCTCATACGTGACGGCAAAAGACTAAAACGGATACCAAACAGCATCAGCAATAAACTAGAACCGGAGTTGTAAAAGCATATTTAATCAGATGTTTGTGTCAAGAACTTATATTGTAGATAAACCATATTACAAAGTCTTATCCTTAATTAAAAGGTTTTATTTCCGGTCTATTATTACAAAGGTGTAACCCTGTTCAAGCTTTGTTTCTGGTCTATTATTACAAAGTTGTAACCCTGTTCAAGCTTTGTTTCCGGTCTATTATTACAAAGTTGAATCATATTAAAATGTTGTTCCAAGTGGTAAAAGCATATTTAATTAGATGTTTCTGTCAAGAACTTATATTGTAGATAAAGAAAACAATAGTGTATTATCCTTATTTTTAGACTTCAAAGCATCTTTCGGCATTGTTCAATAGAAATCACAGCATGCTATATATATTTCTTTTGCAAAAGTCCTAGAATATCTACTGTCCGATAAGAGTCACCAATGTATATATACGGAAAGATCAGGAGTATACATTATCTGTGAACGTGTAAAAAATTGTAGAGAATGGTCGAGGATCACAACTATGAATCGAAACGTACTCCCTTGGGAACAAATGGGTAAAAAGAGAACGGTCAACTGCGAGAACTTTTGAAGAAGTCGGATAGAGGAAGATGGAAAACTAGAGATAACAAGTGGTTAGCCCTATTTTCGTCGAGGATTTACAACCGTAATAGATATATAGACACAGGAAAGAGAACGTTCAATTAAACAAAGAGGCCAACAGGTGGTGCTTCAACTAATGTTAAGTGTCCGCGACGGTCTTCCTACGCTATGACTTTTTCAGTTCTATTCAAACTTGAAAGACAGTTTAGAGATAATAATAGAGGACGATTTAGAGAGCAGTACGGAGAACAGTTTAGAGAGAAGTATGTAGAACAGTTTAGAGAGAAGGATGTAGAACAGTTTAGAGAGAAGGATGTAGACCAGTTTAGAGAGAAGTATGTAGAACAGTTTAGAGAGACGGATGTAGAACAGTTTAGAGAGAAGGATGTAGAACCGTTTAGAGAGAAGGATGTAGAACAGTTTAGAGAGAAGTATGTAGAACACTATTCAAACTTGAAAGACAGTTTAGAGATAATAATAGAGGACGATTTAGAGAGCAGTACAGAGAACAGTTTAGAGAGAAGTATGTAGAACAGTCTAGAGAGAAGTATGTAGAACAGTTTAGAGAGAAGCATGTAGAACAGTTTAGAGAGAAGTATGTAGAACGGTTTAGAGAGAAGTATTGAGAACGGTTTAGAGAGAAGGATGTAGAACAGTTTAGAGAGAAGGATGTAGAACAGTTTAGAGAGAAGTATGTAGAACGGTTTAGAGAGAAGTATTGAGAACGGTTTAGAGAGAAGGATGTAGAACAGTTTAGAGAGAAGTATGGAGTATAGAGAACGGTTTAGACATAAGCATGGAGAGCAGGTTAGAATGATGTATAGAGAACAGTTTAGAGAGAAGTATTGAGAACAGTTTAGGGATAAATATGGATAACAGTTTACAGATAAGTATAGATAACAGATTAGAGAAAGGTATAGAGAACGGTTTAGAGAGAAGTATAGAGGACAGTTTAGAGAGAAGTATGGAGAACGGTTTAGAAAGAAGTATAGAGAACAGTTTAGAGAGAAGTATAGAGAACGGTTTAGAGAGAAGTATAGAGGACAGTTTAGAGAGAAGTATGGAGAACGGTTTAGAAAGAAGTATAGAGAACAGTTTAGAGAGAAGTATAGAGAACGGTTTAGAGAGAAGTATAGAGGACAGTTTAGAGAGAAGTATGGAGAACGGTTTAGAAAGAAGTATAGAGAACAGTTTAGAGAGAAGTATAGAGAACGGTTTAGAGAGAAGTATAGAGGACAGTTTAGAGAGAAGTATGGAGAACGGTTTAGAAAGAAGTATAGAGAACAGTTTAGAGAGAAGTATAGAGAACGGTTTAGAGAGAAGTATAGAGGACAGTTTAGAGAGAAGTATGGAGAACGGTTTAGAAAGAAGTATAGAGAACAGTTTAGAGAGAAGTATAGAGAATGATTTAGAGAGATGAATGGGGAATAGTTTAGAGATAAGTATAGAGAACAGTATAGAGAGATGTATGGAGAATAGTTTAGAGAGAAGTATGGAGAACAGTTCAGAGAGAAGTATAGAGAATAGTTTAGAGAGAAGTATGGAGAACAGTGAAGAGAGAAGTATGGAGAACGGTCTAGAGAGAAGTATAGAGAATAGTTTAGAGAGAAGTATGGAGAACAGTGAAGAGAGAAGTTTAGAGAGAAGTATGGAGAACAGTCTAGAGAGAAGTATAGAGAATAGTTTAGAGAGAAGTATGGAGAACAGTTCAGAGAGAAGTATAGAGAATAGTTTAGAGAGAAGTATGGAGAACAGTTCAGAGAGAAGTATAGAGAATAGTTTAGAGAGAAGTATCGAGAACAGTTTAGAGAGAAGTATGGAGAACAGTTTAGAGAGAAGGATGGAGAACAGTGAAGAGAGAAGTATGGAGAACAGTGAAGAGAGAAGTTTAGAGAGAAGTATGGAGAACAATTTGGAGAGAAGTATAGAGAATAGTTTAGAGAGAAGGATCGAGAACAGTTTAGAGAGAAGTATGGAGAACAGTGAAGAGAGAAGTATGGAGAACGGTCTAGAGAGAAGTATAGAGAATAGTTTAGAGAGAAGTATCGAGAACAGTTTAGAGAGAAGTATGGAGAACAGTCTAGAGAGAAGTATAGAGAATAGTTTAGAGAGAAGTATGGAGAACAGTTTAGAGCGAAGTATCAAACAGTTCAGAGAGAAGTGTGGAGAACAGTTTAGAGAGAAGTATGTAGAACAGTCTAGAGAGAAGTATGTAGAACAGTTTAGAGAGAAGCATGTAGAACAGTTTAGAGAGAAGTATGTAGAACAGTCTAGAGAGAAGTATGTAGAACAGTTTAGAGAGAAGTATATAGAACGGTTTAGAGAGAAGTATTGAGAACGGTTTAGAGAGAAGGATGTAGAACAGTTTAGAGAGAAGGGTGTAGAAAAGTTTAGAGAGAAGGATGTAGAACAGTTTAGAGAGAAGGATGTAGACCAGTTTAGAGAGAAGTATGTAGAACAGTTTAGAGAGAAGTATGTAGAACGGTTTAGAGAGAAGTATTGAGAACGGTTTAGAGAGAAGGATGTAGAACAGTTTAGAGAGAAGGATGTAGAACAGTTTAGAGAGAAGGATGTAGAACAGTTTAGAGAGAAGTATGTAGAACAGTTTAGAGAGAAGTATGGAGAACAGTTTAGAGAGAAGTATGGAGAACAGTGAAGAGAGAAGTATGGAGAACGGTCTAGAGAGAAGTATAGAGAATAGTTTAGAGAGAAGTATCGAGAACAGTTTAGATAGCAGTATTGAGAACAGTTTAGAGAGAAGTATCGAGAACAGTTTAGATAGCAGTATGTAGAACAGTTTAGAGAGAAGTATCGAGAACAGTTTAGATAGCAGTATTGAGAACAGTTTAGAGAGAAGTATCGAGAACAGTTCAGAGAGAAGTATGGAAAACAGTTTAGAGAGAAGTATGGAGAACAGTTTAGAGATAAGTATGGAGAACAGTCTAGAGAGAAGTATAGAGAATAGTTTAGAGAGAAGTATGGAGAACAGTTTAGAGCGAAGTATCGAGAACAGTTCAGAGAGAAGTGTGGAAAACAGTTTAGAGAGAAGTATGGAGAACAGTGAAGAGAGAAGTTTAGAGAGAAGTATGGAGAACAGTTTAGAGAGAAGTATGGAGAACAGTGAAGAGAGAAGTATGGAGAACAGTGAAGAGAGAAGTTTAGAGAGAAGTATAGAGTATAGTTTAGAGAGAAGTATGGAGAACAGTTTAGAGAGAAGTATAGAGAATGGTTTAGAGAGAAGTATCGAGAACAGTTTAGAGAGAAGTATAGAGAACAGTTCAGAGAGAAGTAAGGAGAACAGTTTAGAGAGAAGTATAGAGAATAGTTTAGAGAGAAGTATGGTGAACAGTTTAGAGAGAAGTATCGAGAACAGTTTAGAGAGAAGTATGTAGAACAGTTTAGAGAGAAGTATGGAGAACAGTGAAGAGAGAGGTTTAGAGAGAAGTATGGAAAACAGTTTAGAGAGAAGTATGGAGAACAGTTTAGAGAGAAGTATAGAGAACAGTTTAGAGAGAAGTATCGATAACAGTTTAGAGAGAAGTATGGAGAACAGTGAAGAGAGAAGTTTAGAGAGAAGTATAGAGTATAGTTTAGAGAGAAGTATGGAGAACAGTTTAGAGAGAAGTATAGAGAACAGTTTAGAGAGAAGTATAGAGAATAGTTTAGACAGAAGTATAGAGAACAGTTTAGAGAGAAGTATGGAGAACAGTTTAGAGAGAAGTATCGAGAACAGTTTAGAGAGAAGTATCGAGAACAGTTTAGAGAGAAGTATAGAGAACAGTTTAGAGAGAAGTATGGAGAACAGTCTAGAGAGAAGTATAGAGAATAGTTTAGAGAGAAGTATGGAGAACAGTTCAGAGAGAAGTATAGAGAATAGTTTAGAGAGAAGTATTGAGAACAGTTTAGAGAGAAGTATGGAGAATAGTTTATAACAGTGTGTCTGATTGAATGATACTGGTCAGTCACATGACGGGGCAATAAGCCATCATGTCGATCTCACATGCTCAAGTTTCCTCGATTATATTTTCTTCGGAACCTCTCTAGAAAAAAATGGCAAGAGCCTATAATTGGCACAACTTAGTTCCGAATGACGGAAGCAGGCGACAACTACACGTATAGAGATGAGGTATAATACTTAGTAATTTAGAGAAAAAAAGATTCGTGAAGAAAAATATGAAAACAGTTTAGAAACACAGCAGAGGAAAACGAATGAAGAGTGGTATAATAAAGGAGTAATATAAAAGTTTGGAGAACAATGTAATAAATTGTATATAGAACAGTATATAGAATAGTTCGGAGAACAACATAGGAAACAAACCATTTACAATACATACAGATTAGAGTCACGATATAATTTGTAAAAGGATACGTTGATGATGAAATTCAGTAGCAACGACGTAACTGTTTGTTGTTGTTTGTGTCTTGTTTAAGACTCTGATTACAAAGTCTTATCCTTAATTAAAGGTTTTATTTTCGGTCTATTATTAAAAAGGTGTAACCCTGTTCAAGCTTTGTTTCCGGTCTATTATTACAAAGTTGTAACCCTGTTCAAGCTTTGTTTCCGGTCTATCATATTAAAAGTTGAACCATGTTGAAATGTCTGTTTCCTGTCTATGTTTTACCTTATACGGTAACGCCTATCGACGTCAATATCCTACCAATCACAGTCGTAATTTATTTACCTGTAGGTGGAGCCAATCTGCTGTCTGTCGATTCACTCAAACACATATATGACTCTAATTAATATTCGGACCTGATGCGTGAAAAGTTCCCAATCCATACTATTCACAAAATATTATTAATTATCCCCAGTGCAAATAATTGATTAAGACACATAATGTCATCGTCTCCATGCTGATAACAAGGAAATTCGTGTTATCAGTAGCCATTAAGCTTTCGGTCGGGGTAGTAAATTGTTGCTGTGTGGCTATGGGTGTTTTATGTGTGTACATCTTATCAAGAGGCGTTGTTAAGTACATACAGACAAATAAAATCAATAACTGTGCACCGTTACGTAATTCAGTTGCACTATTTGTTTTGGGTTGTTTATAAACTGTTATAAAATATATATCAATCATTTTAAAATGTGCGAAAACAATTATGTAATAAATATGGGCGCGGTACTGAGCAAACAAAAATTGATAAGCGAGATTTTTGAATATAATTGATTGCAAAAAAAGAGATAGCAGCTCTTAAATGACAGGAAACTTAACAATCACCACTTTATTAGTGAAACTGTTGGTTCCGGCTACGATTTATAATTCCCCACGCAATCAGTAACATACTTGCACTGATAGAATCAAGGAATATTAAGCTACTGAAAGGACTACAATCGACTAGGTATAGCGGGAATGATGTTCGTTATTTCAGAAACATTATTACATGTTTCGATATTTTTCTATTTCCAATAGATAAATCACCATCGAATCGATTTAGACAATAATCCAGAGTTTTTTTAACATCTGTAAGAAGGGAGGTAACTCTTATATTGGCAACTGTCGTCCTGGGCCGTTTTCGGTTAAACGGTTGAACCGGTCAGACCACTGTTGTTCGTTATTAAATTGGTCGGACCGAGACTAGTAATCTGATGCCGCTTTCAGGCGAGACTTGACAAAGCCTCGTAAGGCCTGCATAAACATTTGCAGGTCCGCCAGGATTTATACCCGAAATTGATACAATTACGTTGTTTTGCATAAACGAACAGGCCCCAGTAGACTGAATTAAAACCAGTATATATTGTGATCATGTTCGAAGCCTGGACTAGGGTCGGATGCAATTGTACCTGGAGTTAGGGTTGGGTTGAGGGGATGGCGAGTGTACCTCCCCATGAAATTTTCAAGATACATTGTTTCTATTGACGCGGTTGGCTGACCTTATCTGGACCTGTCATGCTTAAAGTTCTATAGTTTCAACGGGCTTCGATTTTTGTATGATTTTTTAATACTGTGAGAATGACCGCACAGTGAACCCGTGTTTACTGAAAGATTCCAAAATAATTAGTACACTTTAAGAATTTAATGTAAAAATGGTTTAAAAATACTGTACTTAGTGTATAATGTTACAGGCAACTCGATACGATACACAAGAAAGTATCACGACACGATACGAGTTATTGTTTTAGCCCTAATACACGTACTGTGTATTATATTGCATTTCTTTAAGTCCGAAGAAGAGGAATGTCAAACCCTAGCCCTACTTTAACTCTAAGACTCTTAACATTAGGATCGGTCATTTAAAAAAGATTTGACGATCAGATCGGTCCATTGTAAAACATTATCAAATGAAATCACTGCATGGTCCCGAATCTACAGCAGTGATATTATTTTGTTTTATTTATGCTAAATCGAGAACAGGCACTAATATTATAAACATATTGATTCATGGTTGAATCTGCAATTAATTATATAGCAAACACATGATCACTGACTTTTAACTCGAAACCGGAAGTGCTATTTTAGAGTGTGTTTCCACATCGTTAAGGTTTCCTTCCGTATAGAAACACCCATAGAGGAATGTCGACTGACATAGATAGACAAATATGTCATGTAAATAAATTGTACTTACCGTAGTCTTGTGTGTATGCACGCGAAACTCACAGCATCATCTAACGTTATCTGTGTTACGCAAGCAGGAAAACACGATGGTGGAGTCAACAATAGCAATGACGTCATACGTATTGTCACGTCATGGTCCTCGCAACCATTCATACGAGATTTGATGTGTGCTAAAATTAGATTATTTGATACGTGGAATTAATTTAACATAGTGTATGGCAGGTTATGACTTCAAGCGCCTGTTATTCGCAGATAAGCAGTCAGATCAAGGCATTTTGTTAATATTGCTTAGAATTTAACAAAATTATTTCGGAACTTGTTTCCTTATTAAAAGCAAGAACATAAAATTCTTATACTGGTCGGGTTATTCGAAGCCGGGTTAGCTAACAAACTTTGAAAAAAAAAAAAAAAAAATGTATTTCTGTTTATTTGTCTTTGAACAGTAATTTATGTAATTTTAGCTTTGAGTTTTTGTTGAGTTGTCATGTATTAAGCTGATCAAGCTTTCAACGACTGGGACATGGGCCCGTTTTCATAAAACCGTTCTCATGCTCAACCCCAGATTATTGTACAGTGAGTGATAGGTTAATAAAAAGTCATATTTTGTCAATATTGTACAAGAAATTTGGAAAGAATTTAAGCCGAATACTGTTTTCAATGTTTACAATTGGCTTTTTGACTATATATATGTTTCAAGATTTAAGAGAGTTACAAGAAAGCCGGCTAGAGAACAGAATTCATGCTTGAGCATGAGAACAGTTTCATGAACACGGGCCGATGGCTCAGATAGTGAAATTGATTTTCATTTAATTTGATAATCAGAAACCATGTATTTATCTCCAGAAATGACAGTAGTATCCTAGAATAAGTTATAATAAGGTGTTTTTTAAAGAAAAGTGACAAACACCTTATATATGTATGTGAATTTAGCACGACAAGGGAGGTAACTGCATCAGTTTTGGAAAACTTTGAAATACAGTGTATTTGGAAAAAATCATATAGATAGAAATATCAATTGAAAATATTTAATTTTAACTTACCGTTCTTTAAATATATAAAAAAACAAAACAATTGAAAGATGTCTAAGAACGAAAATAAAATACATGAATTATACATCCTGGTGAGTTGTTCTTTAATAATCGCATCAAAATGGAGTTTTTGAGGTATTTATCGTTTTATGATAAATTAAAATAGAAATATATTTTCCCAAAGAAAATGAAATGACGTATATGCCATATATTTATCAACTATTCTGTGCGTAATAAGGGTAAGCGGTAACTATCGGTACCTTCCGTAAAAGGGAAATATCCGGTGTAGGCTTCCATAGATCTCAAGTACCATCTAACCGTCAAAACGATGTGTTCCGAATACTTGGGCGATCATGGGCCGTTTTCGTTTAAACGGTCAAACCGGTCGGACCACTGTTGTTCGTTTATAAAATAAGGTCGGACCTAGTAGTATTATGCTGCTTTCAGGCGAGCCTTGACAAAGTCTTGCAAGGCCTGCATAAACATTTGCAGGTCCGGCTGGATAAACGGTCAAACCGGTTGTTCCTCATAAACGAACAAGCTCAGGTAATCGACAATAGGGCGTTTTCAAGAATGTTAGATCTAATACAAACCCGAGGTCATGTGTATTTGGTGAGAAAGAAAGTATCATTTTAATTGTTGAAAACCTTAAGAATCGGTTCAGATGGCAACAAGTTAACAGCATCTTATTGTTTAGTGAAAAACTCACAAAACCTGTTAATTTGTTCACAAAGTAGTAGAATTTGTGTGTTTGGTGATCTGTGTGTCAAAAGGATTTTGCCTAATAAATCATCACGAGTGCTTCCCCTTGACACGACTCCGTAAGAGCATACGCGTTCGCTCGTGTAGTTACGCCCTTATGTCAAACTAAATTATATTCAAAAAACGTGTTTATATATATATATATGCTAACTTAGCAAAATTTGCCGATTCAATACATGAAGTGGTGTATACAACGATACATTGTGGAGTTGCTGAAATCGTCGTTCTCATTCTTATTAATCGTTCACTGAATCACACAATCATCAGGTGTAAAGATATGAAATTTCATCCGTGACAATATACGTGCAATTATACACTTTGTGCAGCCTGATAGTATGGTACGAAATCGTGAGATCTTTCGGTCCGGAATGTATAACAGCTTGATATATAGCGCTGATAAGCTTTACGGCTATGAACATAGTTATTTTTTAACTTTTATATTTCACAATTCTTAATTTAACTCAATGTGTTTATATTTCAACTGACTAGTAGGAAAAATGGTTAATTCCCTACTATATGATATCTTAAGATCGGGGTAAAACTATTGCCAACTTACATAGTAGGTCGCGAAAAAACCCCGTTACAACT